CTGTGGCTGCTGGCCACTCATGCTGGCTGCTGGCTACACACGGTAGCCCATGGCAACCCACTGCAGCAGGAGCTGTACCCTCCGACGGCGACGGCGACTCACGGCAGCCCAGCTCTAGGTTGAGCTGTTGTTCAGCATCTTAGCTGTGGAGGGCAGTGTCACTGGCCCTCATATGTGGGATCCGAACTGCGGCCCTCTGGCGTCCCAAGCCAGTTCTTAACCATCGCACCACTCGGCCGGCCCTACAGAGAATTTTAAATTATGTGATATTAGTTACTCATCCCAGGTTCTTGTCTCCAACCTTGGCATATTCTTTACATATTTTAAACTTAAAATCAAATTTTAAATTGAATTTATGATATCTTAATTATAATAGAAGCTTTTGTTAAAAAATGCCATGGACTACGTCCTTAAATCAGTACAAATAATGTTTTGAATTTGGATCCTCTGTTCCATTAATTGCCTTCACTGGAATTTCATGCTTAAGATTGAAAGGGCTGGATCTGTGGCCAGTAAAGTTGAATAGGAAGAAGACTAGATTGGGTTTAATGGGGGAACGGTATATGTAACTGTGTCCAAGAATAGAGGAAAGTGTTAGAGAAGCTATTATTTGGAATTTTGCCTGACAAACTTTCTCATTAATATAAGTGCTCTGCCCTTTGTGTTGTAGTAATTCTTTTGTATGATGTTTGGCAAAGTTTCTCTTAACTATGTATGGAATCTTGTAAATGGTTAAAATGTGTTTTTTAAAAATATTTATTTTTTATTATTAGTTTCAGGTGTGCAAAACAATGCAATAGTTATCCTTTTCACCCCTCACAAAGTAACAACCCCCTTCCCCCATCCACTGCCCTCCCACCCCCAATATCATACTTATCTATTACAATTCCATTTAAACCTCTAATTTTATATTATTATAAAATAATATTTATGGGTATGGTTTCAAAATAATATATGATCATTGTGGAATGTTTGGATAATATAGCAAGCTATGAAGAAGATGAACTATAATCACACCACTAAGATGTAACATTTTGACATTTTTTCTTATCCTCTTCTTTTGTACATTTTGCATAGTTAGATGTGATGTATAGTAGTGCTCCCTCACTATCTGAACTCTCATTGTCCAGATATTATTGCTATCTTCCCTAAGAGTTGAAACCTTCATGGGTCCTGGTGTTTGTTTTTCCCCAGGTACCTTGGGACACTCTCTAGTTAGAGTATACCTTTAACATATTATTTCATAATTTACATTATAGTATGTTTGCCATGGTGTTGAAAGTAAGTCGTATCTGATATGTTCAGTATTATTACATGTTGCACACAAATTGATTAAATGAGTGTTAAGTGATGTTTAAAATCCTTTATATTATTTAGTAATCTTTGATGGATAGTTATTCAGGGATTTAAGAATTGTTTAATGATATCTGGGAGTATTGAATGGGCTGGGACACCTTTTTGTTCCCTTTGAAATAATGTAGTAAACATGACTGTGCAGCACATTTGCAGGAGTGGATTAGATTTGGATAACAAGGGTTACCTGTATTTTGTATACTTTGTTTTTAACTTTGACTTCTACTTATGCCAAACATTTCCATATCATCAAAAAGTACTTTGTAAGCATGTTCCTTCTTCATATGTGCCATTAAATATTTAGCTAACTCCTTATTGTTGAATGCATTAGTGGTTTTCCAGTATTTTTCTCTTATAAATAATGTTTCAGTGAGTTATTTACTTGCTTAAGAGCCTTTTTTGTCATCACTATGATTTAGCTAACTCTTTTATCTTTATCAATACAAAAGGTCAAAAAAAGGCATCTCACTATTTTTTAATTTTTGTTCCTTTCTGAATGAGGTTGAGCATGTATGATGTTGTTTGATGATAAGTGTGCATTTGAGATATTTTAAAATTTTATTTTTTCAATTACAGTTTACATGCAATGTTATATTAGTTTCAGGTGTACAGCATAGTGATTAGACTTTTAAGTAATTTATGAAGTGATACTCCTGGTAAATCTAGTACTCCCCTGACACCGTATATATTTATTACAATATTATTGACTATATTCTCTATGCTATACTTGACATCCCCATGCTGTTTTGTAACTACCGATTTGTACTTCTTAATCTCTTTACCTTTTTCACCTGCCTCCCTAACCCACCTTCCATCTGGCAACCATCAGTTTGTTCTCTGTATCTCTGAGCCTGTTTCTGTTTTGTTTGTTCACTTTGTTCTTTAGATTCCACATGTAAGTGAAATCATATGGTATTTGTCTTTCTCTGACTTATTTCACTTGGCATAATACCATTTAGGTCCATCCATTTTGTCGCAAATAGTGAATTTCACTCTTCTTTTATGGCCGAGTAATATTCCATTGTATAATGTACCATTCATCTATTGGTGGACACCTACGTTGCTTCCATATCTTGGCTATTGTAAATAATGATACAATGAATATAGGGGTACATATGGCTTTTCAAATTAGTGTTTTGGATTCCTTCAGATAAATCATTTGAGACATTCTTAAATGTATCTTTGAGAAAGCCCTTGGAAGTTCTTTGTTGCTGGGCAGTATTCTAAAGTGTGCAGCCTATTAGCTAGAAGTCTGTTATTCATCCAGGTAATCAGGCCCAGGATATGAATATCAATAATAACATCTAAAATTATCTTATTTTTTAATTAAAATTGTAAGTTGTCAATCTACTTTTGTACTAACTTTTATACCAATATCTAAAAATCTACATTCATATATTTAATTTCTTTCTGTTTGTGAAATCTCTTTTCTTTTTCTATTTTCTCTTTTTGCCTCAAATTTCCTAATTGACTACAAGATAAAGAAGCTGCTTCTCAAGTTGTTTCTGAATGTCGTAAAAGTCAACAAATCATTTCCTCCACATCAGGTATGATTTCTTTGTTTTTTTTTAAGAAGTCATGACTAATTAAAGATTATGTCTGCATGATGCCAAAACAGGAGTTACCACCTCCTATAAAAAAAAATTAACCAAAAAATCTATTTAATAGAGAGAGAATGATAATTTAAATATTTTCACTTTCCTCTTTTGTGTTTTTTTGGTTGTTGTATGGTTTAAATTCAAGCCTTGGTACCAAGTTTCCAGTACCCAGTATGACAATGAGTTATGTTTTGCATATGAAATTTGAAAGTATTGTTCTATTAAATGCTAGAAAATAAGATTAGACTCCGAGAACAAAAGGCAGAGTTAAACTGTATGTTGATATATTGTGACAGGTTTCTTCATTTTACTTTTCATAAGAAGCTAATGAGTTTTATAATATTTAGATGGTAAACATTTTAAGTGGTTAAATTTAGCTATGGGCTCTGAATTTACTAAAAACCTTTTAAAGGGTGTGAATTATACCTCAATAAAGCTATTAAAAAAATAGGTCAACAGTGTTGAAAGTAAAAAAGAAATCAGTTACGGGTTAATTTCCTAAAATCTAGTTTGATTGAAATTCTCGTAACTACACAAACATGACTTCATATATCTGAAATGGAAATAGGAAATATAACATTTTCTTGACAGGACTTACATACTTTATTATTCTGTGAATCATTCATATGAGAAAAGCAATAGGCAATCTGCATTTAATTAAGTATTAATCTAAAGTAAATTGCCTTTAGAATAGAATTTGCTTTAATTTAATTATACCTGTGAAACTTCTACTTAGATTTTCAATGGATACATTGTATGTTGTTTGTTGCTAACTTGTTCTTACAAAATTAATGACTAAGAGCTATTTACATATTTTTTTATATTCCTGATTTTTCTTCATTTTCAGAATGTGAACCGTTGAATGTTCCTCAGCTGTTGGCTTCAGATGTATGTCTGAATCTCAAACTTTCCACTGAAATATCAGAGAAACCTTTGTCACTTTCAGCATCTGATCAGGTACTAAATTTGGTTTGTGTTTTGTGAACAAATTTTAATAATACCTTTATGCTAAAATGTATTATGGTCATCATTCAATTGTATGAAATGAGGCTAAAAATCTCACCTATGTAGCTTTGTTGGAAAGGTAAAAATTAAGATTTAAATATTATGTACCAAAATATTGTAAACTAAGACCATAAAACACACTTCCTGCAGCTTTCCTTAAGTTGGGCTCATATGAACTCTGTTTCTCTTCAGAATTAAACCTTTTTATGGGTGGTGGGTGGTGGGCAAAGTGACCATATAGAGTAAAAAAATGTAACCCTCTTTGACTGTGTGTGTTTGGGCTCAGGTGGAACACACTTACATAAATGTGATTGACATTGAAGCTGATGAGCTAGAGGAAGTACCTGACAGAGAAGAGCCTCCAGAGGATGATGTTATCAAACAGCACCTAGAAGTCCCATCCTCTGCAGAGTTACATTACATGGCAGCTTCCGTTACTAATGCTGTTCCCCCACGCAACTTTAAGAGTCAAGGTATTAGTTTTTCCTACTTTTTGAATAAAAAACATTTTGAAAAGTTCTTTAATACAGCATTGTTAACCTGCTTAATCTCTTAGCTCTCCTGCACACCCACTGTACTTTTGAGTGTTTAGATCACACTTAGAAATATTTTATTCATCTTGTAAATACCTTGTTTAGAACTTTAGAATCAGTCTTTATGTGCCTTTCATATTCTTGACAGAATCTGCCAATTCCGCTGCGGATTTATTTTTTAAACCTGCAAAAGTGTCTCCATCTTGTCTGGATGGAAGGAGCTGGGGAGCAGGCATTACAGAAGTGAAGGAGCCTGGAATCACCTCACCTACGTCATCAGACGTGGAGCAGGACAAAGGTGAACGCCCTAGATGTGTGCCTGACTCTGCCCTTCCCCTGAGTCCCTGCTCTATTAGAAATAAGCACTAGAACTTGGTAATGGCAAAGAAAGAAGAAAAGAGCTTTTTCCTGCTGTGGAGAGTGGGGGCAGATAAGTAAATGAGATAGAGTTCCAAAGCTGGGACCCATGGATAGTTTGCGGGGAGAATACAGATCTATTTGTGCATAGGTCTTCTCTCAATTAACGAGACTAAAAATAAATGCCCTGTTGGATTTCATGAGTGTTTTGGTGTTAAAGAGGAATTCTCATATTTAAAAAGGTGGGACTTCTAGAATAGCACATAGAAAATACACAGGCATGGTTGCCAATAGTACATTATTAGTAAAATATTCCATTTTTGGTTATAAATCAGGTTTTATTATTGTTAAATAGTTGCAAGATTTAGAAGAATACTTCTTCAAAACCTAGTGATTGCATCCTGTGAATGTTTAGATTAATATGCAGTTGCGCTTCCTGCAACAGCGACCCAATCTCTTCCCTGGTTCCACAGCTGTTTAGGAGGCGTAGACCCAGCTTTGTGGTTGTCAGGTGCTTGGGTGCAGAGCCCACTGCCTGTTGGTTGTGTATCAACAGTGGACACTCAGGAGAAAAGAGGGGCAGGGAAGGAATGGGCGGCGGGGCGTATATGTTCTGGCTGCATAGATGGGTAAGTGCCAGCATTTCAGATTTTGAAGCCTTCGCCCTCTTTTTATCTCTCTCCTGACACAGGGCTGCGCATGGGTAGCAGAGGAGGATGTGTGAAGCTAGCATACATCTAGCTTTCAGGCTGTGTGAAAAGAGCATGGAGTTGAGATTCAAACAGAACAGACCTGGGTTTAATCCCAGCTCTGTCACTTAATACCTTTGGAGATGTTTTGTGAGAAAATTAGCATTATCGGATCCTCACTTGTATCGCTGTGGGATACATCCTCATGGGGTGTCAGGAGGGTTACATCCAACCAAACGCCAGTGGCTACTTAGGCACCCTGTTAGTTTCTCTTCGTTTTCACACCAATTGAATTTTGAAATTGTGTTTTCACCTGGAACTAGACCATCTCCCTGTGACCCCTGAATATCTTAGGCCAGCATTTCAGAATGACAATAACCAGCAGGTTAATAGCCTCCATCAGTGAGATCAAGTCCATAATCAACCTTTTGGAGAATCCTTTGCTGGGGAGACTGCCTGGTGATGAAAATATGTCAGCAGACCCTTCTGCACTTATTAAAGAGAAGAACTAAAAAATCCCAATTTAAAAGGAAGTTTTATATTTTAAAATTAAATTCCATCATGGTTTTTACATAATATACTTTAAAAACTCAGATGTAGTCACACAGTAGAGTTGAGTGGGATTTGCGTTATAGGCAAAGGTTGGGAGAAGGGGGGAGGGTCAGGGTCCCTAGAAATGAAAAACAAAAACAAACCAAACAATAAATCCCTGTTTTAGTAGAGACTTGCTCTCTGTTTTGAATGACAGTAGCTTCCTATTTTAGAAACCATCTCTGATAGGAATACTGTTAGTAATAACAAGCAGCGCTTTGCTGGGCAGGGGAGAGCATTGCAGGGTTACTGGAACTCAGCGTTTCGCCCTCCTAGGTGGTGCTTCTCCTACCCATCGGGAGCGGAGCAGGCTCTCCAGAGAAAGGGGTGCTCAGTCATTATGGACGTAGGCCATTTTGGATTTTAAGCATGTCCATCTTTCTGCTGTTTTCTATTTGAAGTTTATACACCAAATTATTTCCTGAGAGTGATTAAGGGAGACACTTTAGGCTGCTGAAAAACAGGAAGGGCAGGTGGAACTGAAATATAACATGCATACCTACGTTTGTTTAGCAGTTTACAATTTTGAGATTATTTTGTCCCATATTTTGATCTTTACAAAACCTCTGAGTTAGGTAGGACAGGCATCATGATCTTCATTTGACTGAGTCTTCATTCAGTAAACCCTAAGTTGGGCACTAGATATCGGAGCTGAGGAAGAGTGTAATCCCAGGGTCTCTGCCTGTGAGCTTGCTCACCTATGGGGAAAGGAAGACAGAGAAATAGAGGTGATTCTAATACAGCATGGTAGGTGCTGTCAGCAGGGTATGGATGAGATTCTTGGGAAATAAAGCACCCAATCCATCTCTGGGAGGATTAGGGCTATTTAGGGGAGAGACATCTAAATGGAATCTTAAAGGAAAGTAGGATTTTGTGAGAGAAGGGGCGCACAGATTGAGAGAATAGATTCTCTCAGTGCAGTGACTCAGGTTTGATGGAGCTTGCTGAGTTTGAGAAAATTAAAGTTCAGTGTGCTTGGAGTTAATGGGTTTTTTTTGTTGTTGTTTGTTTTTTTAAGAAATAGCAAGAGATGAGCTGGAGAGTGGAGAGGTAGGCAGAGGAAAGACTGAATACCATTTTCTCTCATACTGAGGCATTTGGACTTTTAAGGCGAAGGCATTAGAGAAACACTGAAGGATTTCAAGTAGAAAAGGAATAATGTCAGATTTGTGTTTTAAAAGATCTCTCTAGGGTATGTGTGGAAGATGGACTAATGGGAGTGAAATAAGTTAGTGACAGGGATGCCATTTGGGTCTATCTGTTGTGAAACTTTAGCAGCAGTGCTAGTAGGAATGGAGGAGATATTTGGTAGGTTGATCTTCGCTATTTGCCGTCTCTCTGGATCTGAAGGAAAGAGAAGAACCTTGAAGACTCACAGGCCTCTGTCTTGGGAAACTGGGGGAATGAAAGTGCTCTTCACTGAGCTGGGAATAAGGAAGAGGGAGCAATTGGAGGGGCAGAAGCAATGAGTTTGGTTTAGCACGCTTTTGGGATAACCTGCACGAGCTATCTAGGACACAGATGGACTTCTGGGCTGGAGCTCAGAAAGAGTGCCATATGAATTTGAGGGTTACCTGTGCGTCAGTGACACCACTCAGAGAGAAGTGAGCTGAGACTGGCACCCCAGGAAATACTGATGGGGAAAAGGAGTGGGTGGCAGAAGAGAAGACCCAGAGATGACTAAGAAGGAAGGGCAATATGGGGAGGAGACAGAAGCCAGAAGAGAACACATTTAAGGAAGAAGCATTTCAAATTTGGAACAAGAATCAATTGAGTTTAAGAGTAGGGAGAGTCATTGGCTTTGATACTGGTCTTGGGATGTTTAACATTTGCCTGAGATCCCCTCGGAATCAGTAGTGGCCAACATTGGGTCTAGCTTTTACTGTATGACATTGTTGGTTTTCAAATAGAGTTTTAAAAAGCCAGAAAGATTGAAAGTAGCTTTTTGATGAAGTATATTTTTTGTAGCAGAGGCTAAAAGTAACATTTAAACTGCCTTGTATATGGAGGTTGTGGTCATAGTAACACTGTTATGTATTATTTTTTTTTCTGTTATGTATTCTTATCCCAACAAAGACAAACCTCAGAAGGCAAGAAGCTGAAATGGTATTGCTAAGTATATTAAATTAAAACTGATTTGGAAGGGAATGTTGTGTTGATTTAAAATGAAATCTTCAGAAACATTAGATCATAAGCATCTGCCTCTCCTTTAATTATAATCAATTCTGATATTTCCCTTATTAATATTTAGATGTGCCGAAACCAAATTTTCGATTCAAAGACCAGAGCTCACAGTCAGATGCTACAGAAGACTATCGGCTGCAGGACCACCTACTGCAGGCACTGCAGCAGGATGTCTCCCCCACTCGTCCTGCGCCCCGCTCTGCAGCCTGCCGACTAAAGCATCTCAGCTCTGAGCTTCACAGAATTGATGAGCAGCTGCTCGCAATACAGACCATAGCTGAGAACATAGAGCAGGATTTCCCCAGACACGGACTGCTAGACCCACATGGTGATAAGGTAGACTGTCTCTATTTTAGTTTTTTGTTTCTTACCACGTTATTAGATTTATAGTGTGATATAATTTTAGACACTTGATTTTTCAAAATAATGGGAAATTTGGTTTCCATAAGCCAGGGTTTCTCAACCTCTCAGCTCTATTGACATTGGGCCTGATAATTCGTTGTTGCGGGCTGCTGTTCTGTGATTTGTAAAGTGTTGGTAGCCTCTCTGTGCTCCCGCAGAGTGGTTTGCTGCAGGAAGGAATTCAAGGACACTCCGAATAAGCCAAGCAAGCAGTGGGTTTATTGAAAAGGGGAAAGTACACTCTCGAGATAGTGTGAGAGAGGGCAGGCCCGGAGGAGAGCGATTGCCCCGAGGAACGAAGCTTAGGATTATATTTGAATGAGGGAAGGAAATACTCAAGATTTAGGGCTGGCATTATAGCGTTCCCAGGCGGGTCCTTGCTGACCGCTCCTTCCCATAGGGAAGTGGGGTCCCCTGGGCCTTACTTGGCCCTTGTCGGAACTGTCTTGGCGACACGGGGTAGAGATTTTTCCCTGCCTGCAATGCTGATAGCATTATAATCCATTACAATTAGCTATAGCAGCACCTTTTCTTTATTTTTAATTTTTATTTTTTTAGAAATTTTATTGGGGAATTGGGGGAGGGGAACAGCGTTGGGGAATCAGGGAAGGGGAACAGACAAGTTGCTGTCTTAACCAATGCGCCACACGGCCGGCCCTGCACCTTTTCTTAAGAATGATGTCAGCTCCTCTTTTCCTGTGTCTCCCCTTCCCTTCCTTTCCTCCCTGCCTCTCCCAGTGGCCCTGTTCCCTGGTCTGTACCCACGAGCTGTCAGTAGCATTCCCCCTAGCTATAATAATAAAAAATGTCTCCAAACATTGTCTAATGTCCCCTGAGGGGCAAAATTGCCCCGAGTTGAGAAGCACTGCTTTAAACTTTTAAGAAGTGAACCCATGCTCCCTACCAGAAAAAAAAATATATGAACTACAAAACGAGAATGTGGATTTAAACAAATCCTCCCAACTGAGAATTATTTTTTTAAGCATGGTTTTTATAACTTTACAAATATTGTTGTCCTTATATTTGGAATTCTCAATTTCTGTTAAATATTTTATGCAGTGGATTAGTAATCCTTAGAAGTTTTCTGTATCTTTAAAAGTATTCATAATAAGAAGATTAATGTTTATGTATTTAGTATATCATGGTATTTAGACAAATAGAAGTCTCAAACATTAATTATTCTGCACAAATATCCTGTCTGTTTTTTAGGAAGTGAAGTTTATATAAATAAAGATTAAAGAAAAAAACAGTAAAATATTTTGAATGTGTTAAAGCGTTATATTGGGAAATGCAAATTGATCTGAAGGATACAAATTCCATCGTTGACTTAACCTAACAAATATTCCAGGTTGCTAGCATGATGACATTTTAAAGATGTATTTATTAGATTTATAGTATTTCTTTAATCCAAACATTAACACATATTAAAAAATTAAGATTAAATGTGAAAAAATATGTGATAGGAACTATTATTAAGTAATGATACTAAGTATTTAGTCTTCCAAGGTGACTACTTTGAAGAAAGTAGCACTAATTTAAATGAAGGATTTGGCATATTGGTTTAAGATGTTCTCCTATTATTATGCACACATAAGTACAAAGATTTTTACTTGCCCCTTTTAGTTAAGAAAACAGCTTGTAGGCCTGCAGGAGGCAGAGGGATGCTATGGACAAGCACTGAGTAGACGCCTGGAAGACCTGGGTTCAAATCATGTTCTGCCACTAAGAAAGTCACTGAATTTCTCTGGGCCTGTTCTCTCATCTTTGAAATGAAAGGTTTTCTCTAGATGGTAGTTAACCCCATTCTAAAATTATTTGATGCTATTTTCCTGAGTCTCTTAAAAGGTTAAATCAGTTAAGCTACAAATAAGTAAAAATTTCTTCCTTTTCATTGATTTACACCATTTAGCTCATATTGGATTTAATCCAATTTCTTTCATTTGTTGCATTAATAAAAATGTTTAAAACCTACATAAAGTTGTTGATAATATTTTGAAATTTGTAACAGTTATTTTGTTGTGTGTGTTTTTCTACAGGTTGGACCTTTGGGTCACATTGAATTGTCCTCTGGCCCTGAAACTGAAAAAACAACGGCTTCAAGAACCATTAGTATTTCTGAAAAAGGTTTGTGAGGAATTGTGGGGTGGGTCTGAAGCCTTGCTTTGAAAGAAGCATTGCCTTTTGGGCATAACAGAAATACAAATAGCTTTCATATTGAGCTGAAGCCATCAGCCCTCCAATTTTTAGATTAGGATATTTTGTCTGATAATGTGATTGGCTCCTACCTCGGGCCGTTTTTTTTCTGAGAAGCCATCTTTTCCTTCTATCACCTCTTCCTGCTTTTATAGCAGAGTGGAGCACTGTGGGCTGCGTCTTAGCTTCTGTGACTCCACCTCACCGGCCACACACTGCTGAGGAACACACAGAGCTTCGTGCTGAGGTGGTTGTTTGTCTGTGGTCATCTGCTGAGCTGGGATTTGAGATTCTTATTAAATGGCCTGGAATGGTGAAGTCTTACATTTTTGCATTTCTTATTGAAAGGATGACATTAGGATAGTTATTTTAAAAAATTTCTACAGCATCTATAGTTATTTATATCTACATTCTCTCTCATTCAGTCTTGTCAACAATTTAATGTGTTCAAAAAAACCAGTCTTTGGTTTGTTGATATTATTATTGTTTCATAATTTTGTTTTTCATAAATTTCTATTCTTAGCTTTATTATTTATTGTTTTTGGGGACTTGTGGTTTTTTTTCTCCTAACTTCATTCTTTCTTTTTCCTAATATATGCATTTGAGGCTGAACATATTCCTGTAAGGACCCAGACAAGAGTGTTGATATATACCATCTTTGGGTATTCAGTTCTAATAATTTGTTATTTGTATTGAGTTCTTCTTTAGTTCAGAGTTTTTTGGCTTCCAAATATTATAGGATTTGGGCTGTAGTTTTGTAGTTTATTTCCATTTTTCATTGTATTGTGATTAGATAAGTATATGATAATATCAACTCTTAGATATTTGTTAAAATTTCCTTTGTGATCTAGTGTATATAGTCAGTTTTTGTAAATGTTCTATGTTTATTAGAAAAGAAGAAGCATTTTCTATTGGTTTATGTAGGATATATATGTATAGATACAGATATACATACAGTTGACCCTTGAACAACACAGGTTTGAACTGTGCAGGTCCACTTATATGTGGACTTTTTTCAATAAATACCTGTAGTGTTTTCAATCCACAGTTGCGAGTTCACAGATGTGGAAGGGCTACTGTATGCATTGATCTGTGTCATGTTATACAGGGGAGCTTGAGCATCTGGGGCTTTTGGTATGCGAGGGGTTCTGAAACCAAACCTCCACAGATAGTTGAGGGACAACTAAGTTTTGAGGGAGTCAGAAGTTATATGTGGATTTTTACTGCGTGGGGTTCAGCACACCAAACCCCTTCATTTTTCAAGGGTCAACTGTGTGTGTACACACACACACACACACACACACAATGTGCACAAACTTATAACTTATTGAGATTTTCTATATTTCAGATTGGTTTTAGTCTGCTTAACTTCTCAGTAGGCTAGGCTGCATAAAAAATTAACCACAAAGAGCTCGCTCAAAGGTTTGAGCTCTGAGCAACAGCGGTTCGAGTCCGGCCTGAGCTGAGCTGCTGCTGAGCTGCCAACAGGTGGCAGGATGGCTCAGCTAAAAAAAAAAAAAATTAACCACAATGATTGTGGAATTCTTTATTTCTGCTTGTAATTCTGTTAAATATTGTTTTATATAGTTGACGCTATGTCATAAAATGAATATAGTTCATAACCATTATATTTTTTTGTTGAATTTTGTTCCTGTTAGTATTAAATAATGACTCTTAATCTCCAATAATGCTTTTAGACTCAAAGTCAATTTTCTCTAACATTAATATTTACATTTCTGCTTTCTTTTGCCCGGTATATCTTTTTTTGATACTTTTTATTTTTTAAAAAACTTACTATAGAAAATGTCAAACATTTCAGTAGAAGACAGAATAGTATAATTAATCTCATGTACCCAACAACCAACTTTAACAATTATAACTCATGGCCAATCCTGTTTTATGTATATACCCACCCGTTCTTCCCACCTTCCCTGGATTATTTTGAAGCAAATCCCAGATAATACATTATTTTATTCATACATATTTTATATGTAATGTGAAAAATAAAGCGTTGCTTTTAAACATATAGGTATAATATTGTCAGTCCTTATTTAAAAATCTTAATATTGTTCTATCTCATCAGTGTTCAAATGTTTCCAGTTGTCACCATTTAAAAAAATACTTTATTCATTCTAGCTGGAATCCAAGTAAGGCCTTTTCATGGAAATTGGTTGATGGCTTAGACGCCTCCTTTAACTTTTGGGTTCCTCCTCTATTTCTCTTTTCCCCGCTTGCAATTTATTTGTCAAAGAAACATGGATGTTTGTCCTGAAGTGTTATTCGGAGTCTGGATTTTGCTAGTTGAGTCTCTGTCATGTTATTTAACATTTTCCTCTGTCCCCTGTATTTCCTATAAATAAGACACTTCTTAACTTTCAAGCTGAGTGATTATGTTGTAATTGTGTACAGCATATAACTAGATTTTATTTTTTTTAATAATTAGACAATTTGAGTTTTGATCAAGTATAATCAGTTTCCATTTATTGTGATCTCTGATCTATTTATGCTTATTTCTATAATCTTATTTTGTGCTTCCTATTTACTATGTATTTTTTTCTTTACTTTTTGTCTCTTCTATTGGATTGACTTTTCTCTCTCCCCTTCTATTGGCTCAGAAATACACATTCTATTTTTAATCTCTTAGTGATTATTCTTGAATTTTCAACATTCATACTTGAGTTAAAATTTAAGGTGAATATATTGACCTCACAAACAATCTAAGGGCTTTAGCGTTTTTAACACTAATCTGCTGCCTCATCTTCTCTGATGTTGTTTTCTAATATTTTAGTTCAGCCTTGTTTTTTTTAGAATTCTTTTCTTTTTTTTTTAAGGTTTTTATTGGGGAATTGGGGGAGGGGAACAGCCAAGTTGTTGTCCTTCAATCTTAGTTGGGAGGGCGCAGCTAGCTCAGCTCCAAGTCCAGTCTCGCTGCTCAGCTCAAGGTGCTGTGTTCAATTAGTTGCAGGTGGGTGTAACCACCATCCCATTGGGGAGTCGAAACAGCAGCCTCGTTGTTGGTTTTTTTTTTGTTTTGGCTGAGCCATCCTGCCACCTGTTGGCAGCTCAGCGGCAGCTCAGCTCGGGCCAGGACTTGAACTGCTGTTCTCAGAGCTCGCACTCTTGAGCAAGCTCTTAACCAACTGAGCCACTCGGCCGGCCCAAGCCTCGTTGTTAAGAGCGCACTCTCTGTCCATTGAGCCACCCAGGCAGCAGCTCAGGTCAAGGTGCCAAATTCAGTCTTTAGTTGAGGGCGGGTGTAGTCACCATCCCATGTTGGGGTTGAACAGGCAACCTTGTTGTTAGGAGCACGTGCTCTCACCAGCTGAGCCATCCTGCCATCTGTTGACAGCTCAGGGCAGCTCAGCTCAGGCGCAGCATCACTGGCCCATGTGGGAATCGAACAGGCAACCCTGTTGCTCAGAGTTCGTGCTCTAGGGCAAGCTCTTAACCAACTGAGCAGCTCAGCTGGCCCCAGTTCTGTCTTGTTTTTAAACCTCCCATTTATTCTCCCTTGTCTTTTTTAAGTCAATATTTATTTGAATTTATCAGCATGTTTGCCATTTTCTTTGCCCTCAATTGCTTTTTAAAAAAAATCTGTAATTTAAATAACGTAAATATGTAAACCATAGGTATATAAAACCAAAACAGTTTCATGAGTAATACCCTTGTTGGCATTTTCTGTCTCTGCTATTATTGCCCACATTTGCCTCTTGCATCCATTTCTTTGAGGTTTGTTGCCTTCTTCTTTCTAGTTCTTTAATAATTTAGAGTCTGTGAGTGGTGAATTCTCCCAGTCTTTGAAAATAGCTTATAGTGATGGCTTATAGCAGGGTACACAATTCTAGGTGGATGCTTATTTTCCCTCAGCATTTCAAAGATATTATTCCAGTATCTACTGGCATTTCTAATTCTGAGTTTATACTACGTATGTGCTGTCTAATTGCTCTTCTTTTATCTCTTATTGCTTTTAAAGTTTTCTCTTTAGTTTTGGCTTATTTTGTATTTTTGATAGTGTTTCTAGTGTATATTCCTTATTATTTATTATATATGGGAGTAGGAATGATTCTTTAATTTACAGGATTAACATTGGGAATTTTTCATCTATTTTCTTTTGGAGTATTGCTTCCTCCTCTGTGTTTTAAAACACCTATGGAGGTATGTCGGACCTTTGGATTCTATTCCGTCTCTTAAACACTTCTTAATTTTTATCTCTCAGTGATGTACTCGGTGTCTTCAGGTCTGTTTTTTAGTCTAATTCTCTTTTCTGCCATGTCATCTTTGTGTCAGATTTTAATTTTGGTGACTACATTATTTATGTCTAGATGTCCTGTTTCTTTTTCAAAGCTACCTGTTGTTTGGGAATAGTACTATGTTCTTTTATTGTGGTTTGTATGCCTTCTTTTATCTATTTAATGACTTTAGTAATATTTTATGCCCTTTCTGATTGTTTTATTTCATGTGTGCATATTCTTAATTGTCGAACCAGCATACTGTCTCTCTTTCATGGTGGTGTCTTTGTTTGACTTGTAATTTTTATTTATTTTTTGTTTTTTAAAGTTGCAGAAAAGGAGTTTATTAAGAGAAAAAAGTACATTTCAAAAAAGCCTAAGTAGGAGAAAAAGTAGAGAATGACTCAAGGGCCTTTATTAGAAAAGAAAGTACACTCCAAAGAGTTTAAAGAAGGCCGAGCTAAGGAAGCTCAAAAGGCCCAAGGGGGCCCACTGGCCAGCACCAGGGCCAGGGAGTCATTATTAGGAGAGAAAGTACACACCAAAGAGTTTGGCGTGGGCCCCGAGCAGAGGCAAGGCTCAAAAGGCACTGACTGGCCAGGACTTGGAATTTTTATCCCTTCTTCCTCTAGAATGGGCTGACTTGTAATTTGTAAAATCATCTTTAGGGGGGATCTGCTGAGTTATGTTTGTCTTTGAAGTGGTTTTGTATTTGCCTCTTGCTGTCGCTGAAGTAGAAAAAAATTTTAGGACAAGTTTTGTATACATTCCTTGACTTGGAGTTGCTGTGCTCCATTGATAGTGTAAATTCAGATCCCACACCTGCTTGTGGCAAGACAGGGATTTGGATTTCACAGAGCTGGCTTTTTAAAATTTTTCTTCCATCCACTACCCAGGCAGATATAAAATGTCTTTGCTGCTTCTCCAGGGCAGGGTTTTTCTTATCCCCTTTAAAGCCAGAGCTGTCCTTCAGTGCTCTGGGCCATATAAAGGTAGCTCAGCCCCCACTGCAGTCTGCAGAAACCTTCTCTTCCTCTGTGGACTATCCCAGCAGTATTGTCTAGCTTTGAATTTCTGTTTCTTTTCTAGCACCAGAGGATTTCTTTATTTATAGGGCTTTGTTGTGTATTAATCAATTTGTTTTAAATTTAGCGTGTCTTCTGTGTTTTTATAACAGGGCAGGAGCCTGTCCACTTTAGCTCCATCTGCCATGTTTTCTGAAGTTGATAATTTAATAGTTATTTATGGTGGGAGAGTGTGAATTTTAAATATCATAAATTGTTTCATTATTCAGTAGAAAGCTATCAGAATAATATGGTGCAAACTTCTAATATATCTGTTGCCACGTGGAAGTGTTTAGTTACCGTAAGTGTTATATCTTTGCTATGTGATTTTTTTTCTCTATTATTTTCTTTTAATTGTAATATAGACTCTGGATTAGTGCACTTCCTGACTCATATGAATCAGGAAGATCCAAGTGACAACGAACAAACTTTAGAAGCTGAATTTTTCGGAACAGAAACTCATCCTAGTCAGAAAACCTGTGTGTTTCCTTCTGCCGATTCAGCTGTCAGCCTTTCCAGTGACCAGAATACAACTTTTCCAGGTATTGTTCTTCACTGGTTTCATTCACACTCTTATTTTTCAATATACTGAAAGATACATTGCAACAATATACTCTTGTTACTGAATAGTATTTACTGGAAATGTAGTTGTGAAGGATTTGTCAAGCCATTTTGCAATATTTATAAATTTCAGGTGAAGGGAAATTAAAAATTGCACTATTCACATGAAGAACTATGTTGTTAGAAGATAAACTGCAAGCATGTATCAGCTCTGTGTAGCTTATAATATTAAATATACAACCAGAATTACTATAATATTTGCTTTTTACAAAAATTGAGAAATTCAGACTCTGCCAATTATGAAAACCTTGAGTTTTAATTTGAAAACAAATACTGGTGTAATTCATGGAGCCTCTGCCACGTGCCAGACTTCGCTGTTTCACGTGCATTGACCCTGGTGCAGGCCTGATTGGGAAGCGCCATTAATACCCCATTTTACGGTGAAGGGTATTGAGACTTAGAAAACTGTAGTGCCACTTCTCATTCCATTTCATTTGGAGCTGGCAATTAAAAATGACATTCTTTAGTCCTAACAAATACATTTGGCATATGAATAATAAGTCACACTAAATACAACAGCTGAACCATTGATGGTGTTGAAATATATTTTTTTTTTGGCCCCAGATATTGATGGTCAATAATGATGATTTTACTGTTTACAAAATGTGTTATTGCCATTAGTAAAGTAATATAAGCAGTAAAAAAATGCTATTTTTAAATGCCATTGTTGTCATTTAAATAAAAGAAAAGCTATTAAGAAGTTGGTGTAAATCTTGTAATTTTTTTCTCTTAGTTCTTTCTAGATTCCATTTGTATTTTAGTTGTTGGCATATGGGATAATGATTTCCATTTCACAAAATTGTTGTGAAGATTGCGTATTGTATATGAAGCATCCAGCTGAGAATCTGTTTGTTTCCTGTAGGTTCTTGGTCACCCATGGCTTTCCTCTTTCTTCTTATGAGGAAGAATTGACAGATGAGGTTAAAGAGGTTCTAGAGGGGTTCTGATTGTGTCTGAGAGGTTTAAACTCCATTTATACTTGGGAATCACTGGAGAATTCTGAGCAGAGAAGTAAAATGAGGAGGTTTTGAGGAAGACTAGAATGGAGGCAAAGATCGGTTCATGAAATGTTAAATTCATTTGACCTGTGACATAGTGAGTACCTGGCCAGTGTTGTGGGGAGGGAAAAAACACGGGAGAATTCTGAACAGGCAGCTGACGGTGCTCTCTGAGTAAGTGGATAAAACAGGAGAAGGAGAAAGCGAACGGCTCTTTGGTGTTGTCAGCCTGTAGGAGGAAGGATATAATCAGGTCTGATGTCCAACTGTGGAGTACTTTAAGATCAAATGTAACAGTTTAAGGTGATGCTGGGGTATATCTGGCCATGTTTAGGATCCAGTTTTTGACAAGAAAGTGGAACTTAATGAGAGGTTTAGGCTTATAAAACAGATGTAAGAGCCTTTTACTTAATTACATAGTTAAGCTTAGAGAGTTCATCTGTTCTCTGCAAGAAAAAATGGAAAAAAAGGGGAAATGCCAAGGAAGCAGCCTGTGAAATGTCACCCATTAGAGAGCAAGGGAGCCTCCCCAGTGAGCAGACTCTGGTAAAGGGATTTTCAAGAAAAAAGTGAGTGGCTAACAGCTTCACCAGCCGCCAGAAAGTGTAATACAAAGAGTAGAAGAAGGCAGTCTGGGGACAAAGACAGGCTGAAGAAGCTATAAATATAGATTCCTTATGAATTGATTTGTTTCTTTGTTTGTTTTGTTCTTTAGAGTCCACATATAAGTGAAATCATATGGCATTTGTCTTTCTGTCTGACTTATTTCACTCAGCACAGTACCCTCTAGGTCCATCCATGTTGTTGCAGATGGCCAGATTTCATTCTTTTTGGTGGCTGAGTAGTATTCCATTGCATATATGTACCGCCTCCTTTTTATCTGTTTATTCATTGATGGACACCCAGGGTGCCCCCACATCTTGGCCATTGTAAACAGCGCTGCAATGAACATAGGGATGCACATGTCCCTCTGAAATAGCATTTTGAGTTTCTAACGATAAATACCCAGAAGTGGGATTACTGGGTCCTTCTTTGTCTCTTGTTATGGCCTTTGTTTTAAAGTCTGTTGTGTCTGGTATAAGTACTGCTACTCCAGCTTTTATTTGCATGAAATATCTTTTCCATTCCTTTCAGTCTGTGTGTATCTTTCAATCTGAAGTGAGTCTCTGTAGGCAGCATATGTAAGGGTCTTGTTTTCTTATCCATTCAGCTCCTTTATGTCTTTTCATTGGAACATTTAACCCACTACATTTAAAGTAATTGTTGATAGATATGTAGGTATTGTCATTTTATTATTCATATTTTTTATCTTTTTTTCTTCTTGAAGAAATCCCTCTAACATTTATTGTTAATACCGGTTTGGTGGTGGTGAACTCCTTTAGCTTTTTCTTGTCTGGGAAATTCTTCATTTCTCCTTCAATTCTAAATGATAGTTTTTCTGGGTAGAGTAATCTTGGTTGTAGGTCCTTTCTTTTCATCACTTGGAATATTTCCTGCCAATCCCTTCTGGCCTGAAAAGTTTCTGTTGAGAAATCAGGTGACAGTCTTATGGGAGCTCCCTTGTAGGTAACTAACTGCTTTTCTCTCGCTGCTTTTAAGATTCTCTGTCTTTAACCTTTGGCATTTTAATTATGATGTGTCTTGGTGTGGGCCTCTTTGTGTTCATCTTGTTTGGGACTCTGCACTTCCTGAGCTTGTATGTCTATTGAAAACAAAACAGAAAGAAACTCAAGATACAGAGAACATTTTGATGGTTGCCAGATAGGAGGGAGGTTGGGGGGATGGGTAGTAAAGGGTAAGGAATTAAGAAGCACAAATTAATAGTTAAAAAACAGGGAGATGGAAAGTACAGCATAAGGAATATAGTCAATAATATTGTAATAACTGTGTATAGTGTCAGATGGGTATTAGATTTATCAGGGTGATTACCTCGTAAGTTATATAAATGTCTAAGTCACTGTGTTGTACACCTGAAACTAATATAATATTGTATGTCACCTGTAATTGAAAAAATACAAAAGTATCAAAAAGAAAAAAGAATTCTAATAGTAAAAGGAAGTAGAAAAATGAGATAAAGGAAATGAAGTTAAAGATCATTTCCAGATGGGGATAAATACAGACTCTTTAATGTTTCAAGGCAAAAGGAGAGAAATTAGTAGGAAAATAAATTGAAAGTACAAAGTTAAGGAGGTGATTCATTTAGGGTTGTTATAGCTTCTTAAGTTAGGATGCAAGAGGGGAAAAAAGGAGAAATAACAAATGGCATAAGAAACAGAAAGATGGATAAATTAAAATGTTTTTCTCAATGTTTGATTATAAATCTAAAAAGAAACCAAATTATTATTTAAAAGTATAGAACTTGGATGCCCTAATAGGTGTCTCCTTCTTCAGAGTGGGCCTCTTGGAAAGATGTATAGTCATTCCCATACCTCTAGTGCTCAGAAATAGCGTAAGTTTACTCTTTTGAAATTGATTTCCATTTTTCCTCACTTTCTTCTGAGTGTTCTTAAAGTGGCAAATACTATACTCACTGAGGATGGGTTTAATTTTTGGTAACAAACGCAAGTTATTCAGAGGCCTTTCTGATAAGTGAAGTACATGATCAGGTTGAGTGTCACTGTCTGAAATTTGAAAAAAGGAATTGTGTTCATCCAGGAATGAAGCTGATCTATTGTGTTTAGTAAATTGTGAAAGCAGTCCAGGGAGAGTTCCAAAAATGGTTTGAAAATGAAGTAAGTGTAGATAGAATCTTCCTATATAACTATTTTTAAAGGCATTTATTTAAGCATAACACTTTTCTGCCCTTTGATAAAAGGAATGTTTCCTCTCTAGTAGTCAGACCTTTTATATCTGATTAATCTATACTTACACCATTATCATTTTTTTTCAGCAGTTGAGGTTTTACTTAATAGTTAAATTTAGTTAATTGCTATTAAGAACTCAAATGCCCAGACTGATAATGTAAGATAATGTAAAATCCTTGATCTGAGGATTAATAAATTAAAAAACAAACAAACATGTGCTTAAGAAAGCAAAATTATTTAATATTAAAAACATGTAGGGGCAGAGTGGATTTATCTTAGTATAAGAAAATCTTCACAACAAAATGTTTTTTTGAGGAGAGATGTCAGAACACTTTTCCCTGTGTTAACACAATTCTCTTTGAGGTTTAAACATAGAAATGGAGTGTGGATTAAATGTTTTGCTTTAAATATATGTAGTTAATATTGGACATGGTTTAAAAATTGTTCTTTGAGTCATATTCTTCCAATAAGGGCTTCCTGGATTTTAGAAATTTCCCCAAATGTATTGCTTTTAGATCATCAGAGAGTTTTTTGTTGTTTTTTATGATTGTTTTAGTAAATTGCACTCTAATTTCTAAACTGTACTAAGAAAGATTGCACCTCCTAAAGTGTATTATTCAGAGTACTCTGGATAGAAAAGTTGTAATCTTAAAATGTGGACAGTATTCACTACTAAGTAGCATATTCAAGTGGAGGATAAATATGCTATATGTATATATCTGTATGGTTTAAAAATATTTTAATTTCTGGTTATATAATTTCTAAGTCAGGTTAATAATTGAAAGTACAAAAAAAAGTAACTGACCTGAAATGTTTATTAATAATGTTTCTTTTTTTTTAAGGCATGAATAACAGTGATGAGTTATTTGAGAGGTAAATATCTTAAGAATTAATTCACAGTTTTACTTAAAGTTGGGTATAAATTATGTGTTCTGGAAATTTTGTTGTTTGTATGTATGTGAACATCTACATTTTTTTTCATGGATTAAAGGAATATAATTCCCATTGGGGATGGGTTGTGTTAAGAAACTGAGGATTGTTATTAATATATCCCTTACCATTACTCATGGGTAGCTAGGACACTATAGACTACATTGGCTACGTTTTCTTTACTACATATGTATTAAATCTCAGCAGGCAAGACAGGTAGAAATGATCTCCTGGGCCTTATGTGCTTTTTTAAGAGCAAGTACAAAATCATCATATTGATGATTAGGCTTTTCCACTGAAGATTACTGGAATTAAAGAAATAGAAGGAACCGTAGTTATATATTGATTATTTTTGTGTTTATTTATGCTCTTGGAGGGCATAGCTTTACATGTTCATTGTTGCTTCATGTAACTAAGTTGTAGATACTGACTTATATTTCTCAAATTGCATTTGCATATAAAGTGTTTCAGTAGATCCACTCCAGATGACGGGATTGACTGATATTGCAGACATTATTGATGACCTTATAACAAAAGATGGAGTTTCCAGTGAAGAGCTGGGCTTAACAGAACAACAAGCTAAAAGTTTCTCCAGGTAATCACTGAATAATTAATTTTTAACCCATTTAAAAATGTTATGGTTCAAAAATATTCAAAATGGGCAGTATTTTATTTTATTTATAATTTTTTTAATTGTGAAAGAGCAATTTATTAGGAGAAAAAGTACACTTAAGCGGGTCTAAGCAGTAGATAATGACTCAAGGGCCATTATTAGAAGAGAAAGTACACTCCAAAGAGTTTGGAGCGGGCCGAGCAAAAGAAGCTCAAAAGGCCTGGCAGTATTTTAATGGGATTGTTATGAAACAAACGCAAAACTTAGAGTAGATTTTCTTCTTCGTGAATACATTTTGTGATGTTTGTGTCGTCCCCCACTCCCCCAATAGAATATAGCCTGGCTTATTTAATGTATACAGTGCATTTGTATCGTGGTGAGTTTTCCCAAGGCCTTATCACCCTAAGTACAATATAAATTTAATCCTACTTCTTCTTAGAAGTAATTATTGATTTAGCTCATGATTTAGTACTTTATCCTAAACATTAACCCTTGGAATACATTTTAAATACTCTTTCCATGGAACATGGAACCTTTCCTGGGCCAAGAACTGGCTCCTGATAGGAATTACCTGCTGTATTATGACTTCATGTCAAGGCCCTGCAAATCCTAACTTATTTGTGAAGCTCTTTTAGTTACCTTCAATCACATATAGAGGAATTTGCATTCTTTTTTAAGTTAATGATTGTTATAAATGTCATGAATGTATTAAATGTAAAGTATTGGAATAAAAATAAAATATGGTTTCTACTCTTGAACGGGGATAGAACTATAAAAAGATAATGACATAAACCCAATCACATCAGTATCCTATAGGGATTTGGGGGAAGACTGTCAGTCAGAGAAGACAGTCTCCCAGTAATGGTATTTGAGGTTTATTTCAAAAGATCAGTAGAAATTCATGTGGCTTAACTAGAAGGAAGGATATTCTAGGCAGCAAGAATATAATATGCAAAAGTGTGATGGTCAGTAGAGGGTGGGGCGTTAGATGTAACCGGAGTTCATGCCTTGGAAGGAGAGAGAAGGTCCGACAGGGTGTGCTGGCTGCCACTGGGGACCAGAGGCAGTCTTGAGTCACCTCGTTTGCAGGCAGCAGGGGGTTCAACAAAGGGCTTTGAACTAGAGTGGGAGCCAGTCAGAGGTCTTCTTACTTCAGTAGTCTAGACACGAGATGGCTCAGAATGGAAAGTGTAGGCTAACAAGCATGAGTAAACCTGGAGACTGTCAGGAAGAAGTGAGAATGATTTTCTCTACTTGGATGACTGAGTTGATGGTGATTTCTTTAGCAAAACAAAGAATGTGGTTTTAGATACAAGGTGTCAGGAGAACATTCAGTTAGTAATATCCACTGGTACAATAGTTTAGATCCCCCCAGAAGCAGATGCTAAAATGAGATTTAGATAAGCAAGAGATTTATTTGGAGAAACACCTGTGAGGGGAAGTGGGGTGGGAGCTAGAAGACTGCCAGTGCGGTCTCGCCCTGGGTTAGGGGTCCCTAGGATCACCTCAGGTCCAGTGAATTCACAGGGAGGACCCAGGATATGTTTGTGCTCAAGACTATGATTTATTACAATGAAAAGATACAAAGCAAAATTATCAAAGGGAAAAGGTGCATGGGGTGGAGTCCAGAGGGAACCAAGCACAAGCTTCCAAGAAGCCTCCCCCCGTGGAGTCACACAGGACAGACACTTCATTCTTCCAACTGCAGATGGTCATACCGGCCGTGGGATGCTGTGTACCAGGGAAGCTTGTAGAGACTCGGTGCCCAGGGTTTTTATTGGTCAGGTAGGCGCCCTTTGCCTGGCGCGTACCGAGTCCAGACTCCCAGAAGACAAGCAGGTGTTCAGTATAAACCACATGGTTTGTGTTCGTGGCCCATCTTCCGTGTAGGATGTGTCCTACTCGCATGTGGGAGATGAGTCTGCCCCAAATCCCCGCCTCACACCACCTGTTTGCTTGGACCACTCTCAGTACACTAATCGTGTTCATTCTCTTCTGAGGAGCAGACGCTGAAATAGGATTAGATGTCCACAAGGTTTAATGAGCGAAATGTAATGTGAGGGAAAAAGGGAGTAAAAGCAGTGGGGAGAGGCATCAGACCACAGTGCAGGCCTGACCCCGCCCTCCCTGTGAAGGAAAGAGGGGCAAGGAGGGGTTAAGTAGAATCTGAGTTAAGCAGTTCTGAGAACATGTCAGCCAAGTCAGTGCTGAGACCTCGAGCCAAAGTCACCATCCGAGGCGCCTGTGTCGTGCAGGAACGGGCCAGCCACATCCCTCAGTCATTAGCTGGGGCCAGTCCCCGGGAAGTGTGGCACAGGCAGGAACGTGAGCCTAGACCCATAAGGGCAGATTCTAGAAGCCAGCTCCATACTATAAGTTTCAGAACTGCTTGAGATAGTCCAGGAATAGATTAAAGGTGAAAAAGTCCAGAGCAGAAGAAAGGAGCTAATGTAGGGGGCTGCGTAAGGTTTTGAGTAAGAGGGACTTTAAAAGCAGAAAGGAGAAGCCAATTAATTGTATCAAATGTTATAGAGAAGCCAAGTAGGATGAAGACTGACGAGGCTGCTGGAGGCCTTTCTGAGGTCATTTTCAGTGGATTTCAGGGGACAGGTTGGAGCACATTGACTAGAGATTATAAGTGTATACTACTTTTTGAAGATGGGGCAAAGTCTTTCCAAATAAACAGTATTTAGTTGTGATACTTCTCATCTGCATAACAAATTTAAAATCAAGTGATGCCCTGCCTGTTACTTTTCTCAGGATTCAGCATTCTTCCAGTAGACGTCCTCGAAGAACTGAGGAGAGAAAAGAAATTCAAGTCTGGATGAAAAGAAAACGGAAAGAAAGAATGGCAGAGTACTTAACTGAGCTGGCAGCAAAGAGAGGGCACGAACACAATCCTTTCTGCCGCAGGAGCAATCCAGTAAGTCTGCAGTATCCAGGATAATGGAATTAGCACAGAACAGATTTAGGGTTTTTTTCTGGCAAATTCAAGAAAAGGATTAATATAATTTGGATGCATTTTTTATTTCACAGAAAAGTCAGCATTTTACTTAGGAAAGTTAAGGAATTACCTTAACAAAATGTAGCAGGGTATTGTACAAACCATGTTCCATTGAACCATCTTAAGTATTTTTTTCTTCCCCAGGCTAATTATGGCTCTGGTATTTTTAAACAAATGAAGAGTTTGAGTGATGGGTGACCAGTGGGAGTTTCCTTAATTTTCAATGAGAGTTGATGGCAATTGAACAACTGACTGTGTGTGTGGTAAAGCCATTTTAAAAATCAATTTTCTACCCCTATATTATCTACAGAAGATTTTAAAGCGTGTGGTTCAGTCATGTACCAACAGAACAATGGCGTGCGTGTGTGTGTGTGTGTGTGTGTGTGTGTGTGTGTGTTGTCGTCTTGAAACTATCAGAGTTTGTTTCCTGAGCCCTGACTGTGGACATTACGATGGCCAGGTCAGAAGTATTTCTTCAGAAGGTGAAACAAAGCAAATGCTACTAGGAAAGTCACATTTAGATTACAGTTTTATACTTTCTAATCTGAAATAAAATAAAACAGTACTTTTTTTTAAAGCATCATTAGAAAATATTTTATAAGTGAGTTTTCCAAATAAGGTTATCACATTTAAGCACCAAATGGTGCAAAAGTAGGTTAATTATTATTTAAACTGTGTCATTTACTAACCTGTGTCTGGAGAGAGCATGTTGGTGTCAATATAACATTCTGTTGATAGCTCTGGGGACATGGTAATGACCTTCAGGGCTACTGAGGTACATGACCAGAATCTCTTAAGTGTGTGCGTGTATATGTGTGTGTGTGTGTGTCTCTGTGTGTCTCCGTGTGTCTCCCTCCACCCCATGGGCGGGGCAGGAGAGTTCTATTACCCTCCCTGTCAGCCAAGCAAATACCCAAGATGGCTAGAATCGTGTCCAAATTTAGAATAAATTAACTCTGAGGGCATCAGAACTGTTTGGTTTATAGACTTTGTGACATACCCTTCAAGATCACAGACCTTGTTTCTTTAGTTTTAGCTTTTATTTGGGTAAAGGTATGGGATTAGTGAAGGATTAATGTAAGTAAAAATTTCATTTGAATTTCTATCAGAAATCGACAAGACCTTTATTTGTTACTACTACTCTTTTTTGTAGCTGAGTCATCCTGCCACCTGTTGGCAGCTCAACTCAGGCCGGGAAACAAACCGGCGACCCTGATGCTCAGCGCTTCAATCTTGAGCAAGAGCTCTTAACCAACTGAGCCACTCGGCCAGTCCTGTTCCTGACTACTTCTATACAGGATCTTGAGAAAGTGAATTCACTCATGTGTGCATGTTTTTATATACACAATTGTGTGAAAAGACTTACATTCATTAGTGACTCAACAGTAACGCAGTGTTTTGGAGTAAGAGGCACATGGCTTGCATTTACCAGTCAGCCTCTTGGTGCGTAAGTCTTGAAGAGGTTTAAGTCCCAGTGAACTCACTGCAGTAGGTTTCTGTAAAAATTTTAAAGCATCAAAATGATGGTTTTTAAAGGTTTGGCTCATTTCTGCTTTATCAACCAAACTGTTGGTGAGATTAATCACAAGACTGAGGTCGCAGCCTAGGTGTCTTTATCCTTAAAATGCTCTTGTTTTCTCTCTTAAATGCAGGCAATAAAGTTCTTCTCCTTTTGAGAAAATACATTAATTTAGCTACTGAAATAGATTTTGCATTCTATTTATTAATCTGGATTTTAATTGATTACATAATGCGTTAACATTTTCATGTTTTGTGCTTGGGTCAGAAGCCTCATCAAATATGACCGTATTTTGCACAATTTCCTAAATAACAATTATGTTTTAACTTCCTGTTAAAACTGACTAGTGCAGTTTTCATGTTTTCCGTGGATCCTAATGGCTTAGTGATTTGTACTGAATAATAATGGACTAACTGGATATTTCTTGTGCAGTTTTACATGACTTCCAGGGAAATCAGGCGGAGCCAAAAGATGAAGCGTGAGAAAGACAGGTGAGCTGGGTAGCTGTAGCCTTGAGCATTCTCCCGAGCTCGCTCACCTGAGACGCAGATAATGCTTAAAGAATTCTAGTTTTCACAGTAGTCCCATTTTTTGTCAATTATGAGAGATAACTGCAAGGAAAATAATTAGACTCTACTAGCCTATTTTGGAAATTGTTTTCAAATATTATTTACTCCATTCAATTTTATGACTTTTATTTCTACTATTCCCTTCCCTCTCCGAATCTAGATATATACGTATTTGAAAATACCCCAAAGGCCATGCTACCGGTACCTTTAATAATACTGCCCAATGGTTTTCACACATCTGAAATTTGATCTTGCATCTGAAGTGCATTTAGAAAGCACTGGAAAAAAAAAAAACAAATGCTAGGTGGTCTTCAAACACTGTGTGCCTTCTAGAAATATGAACTGAAAGTGACTCTTATTAAATGTCATTTAATTCTTTCTCCAAAGAGTGCTACTCTCTGACCACTATAGTCGTCGAATCTCACAAGCATACAGTCTGATGAATGAACTGTTATCGGAATCAGTACAACTACCAGCAACTGCACAGAAACCATTGCCTAATAAGCCCAGAGCTGCTCAAAGCTCCAGACAGCAACGCCCCCTTTCTCCAAAAGGGTAAGATAAGGTTTGGCATGTCACTTGGCAAGACAATGTCAGGCGTGATAAGTGTAGCATTTTTATGACCCAAGTTCAGTGTTTCTGCTTCTACCCTGCTCAGAATTATGGTAAGAAAGTGAAGAAAACAATGGTCCCTAATTATAAGGTCTTTATAAGTTTATAGAATCACCAAGGAAGAAGACAATGGCGTTACATGTCTAAGATATAACAAAGCAGTATACCTAATACAAGTTTGGTATCCATTGAATCCTGTTTTCTTTTCTGTAGATTTTGTTGGGATTTCCTTCTGTAATTTACCTCCTAATTGTTCTGTTTCTCCACTTGGCCTCATTCTTGCAGACAGTCCCCACCAGCTTCCCACTTCTTCCTCTGCGGGCTCTTCCTACCCCGCCCAGTTATTGCTGATTCAATTGTAGATACTGTTATATATTTATTCTTAAATGAATGACCTGCAGTAGGTTTAGATATGAGTTCATTAGGCAGGACTTAACTACACACAGACTGGTAAAGAAAAGTACCCAAGTGTAATGTTTCTTATACGTGGCAAACAAACACACAAAATTTTACTTGGTGGTGATCCATAAGGTGAACAGCAATTGGCAGTACAGTGTTGTTAAAAATTACCACCTTCAAAAAAAAAAAATTACCACCTTCAACAAAATAAATGATTAAGATTATAAACACACTCACATACTTTCAGAGCCTAAAGGAAATGCTACCTACCACAAACCTTGATGCAGTCAGATCACTTGTGTGTGGGTGTGACTTGGGGTATACTCCAAATACCAGATGCCCTTTGAATCTTTTCTAGAATAAAGCAGGGTCTTAAATACATAAATAATAACTGCCAACTGGCCCAAGCTGAGCTGCCGCTGAGTTGCCAACAGGTGGCAGGATGGCTCAGCTAAAAAAAATAAATAAAAAATAACTGCCAAATACACGGAATTTGAAATGGATAGGGAGAGAACAAAAAATAGTTTCTTTGGGGAAAAAAATGAAGTTTGAGAAATGAGATATGAAGAATAATTTGTTGAGAGTTATACACTAAATACATCACTGAGGTATAAACTAAGTGAATGTATTCATCTGAGCTAGAATTTGGGCTTTTTGAAATATTATACTTTGTCACCAAATGGTATTCTAGTAATATAATAATGTGATTTCTCCTTTAGAGAAAATCGACATGGTCACAATTTTTCAATAAATCAACCTGGAAAAGTCAGATACATACCCAAAGCCAGTTACATCCCAAAAGGGGAACCTTTTGGACAACCTCATGGCTCACCTTGGCCACGTGGTAAGACTTAAACTTTATTATATTGTGGAATTTTGACCTGTTCCTTCTTGTCTCCAGAGTTGTATTTTCATTAATAAGAACTATAGATCTTAGTAAAAAACAAGTCTCATTTCAGCAGAATGTAAGAGATTGACAAAGACTTAGCTGTACTGGGATTTTGTTTAATTGCTTTGAAATAAGAAGACCCTGAGAATATTTTTAAACCAATGGCCTTTTTGTAATAGAATCTGAACAGTCAGTAAATTTGATACGACTTATTTGGGAATCTGTTTCTTTTGTGTGTCTAGCTAAAGATTGCAGGCATTTTTACAAATCAAATTCTGATAGATTTCAGGATGGATATCTTACAGAAGAGGATCAGATTGAAATAATATCCTGTTTTCACCCTTTTAACATCCTTTTCCACATTTGAAGATATAATATCTGTTATTTAAGGCTAGCCTTCCTTTAGTTAATTTTGCCATATTTGAGTTTTGATTACTAAAGTAAATCACACTTATTTGTAGAATGATTTCAAACACATTAAAATGTATAATCATAGCTAACATGTATAAATGTATACAGCTAAAAATGTATAATAATTAACTAATGTGCCAGGTTCTATTTAAGCTCTTTAATTACAACCCTGTGAGATAGGTACTATTATGTTCCCCTTTTAAAGAGGAGAAAACCAAGGCAGAGAAAGTTGAAATAAAACAGCTTAAGATCAAACAGCTAGGAAGTGGCAGAACCAAGATTTAAACCCAGTCTGGGTCTAGAGCCTACATAATTAGAACCTACCATTCAGGATGCTGCCTCAATTTATAGAAAATTGAAATTTCCATAAATTCCAATCCTTTTGATAAAACTTCATAGTTGGGTTAACTCTTGCTTTTGATTGACAAATCATAATAAGAAAATACTCTTTTTAAACTAAATTTCAAAAGAGTAACCATGTTTTCTTTTTAAGAATTTTATTTTACACCTGATACATATGCCAAAATTTCAAAATATTCAAAATTGGCAAGGATTTTAAACTTGAACCATGATTTCTTAATATCGAATGGAAAAGTCTTGGATTATGTGGAACTGTGTGTTTCTCTTGGACCGGTCCCATTAGACCTGTATTGTCACCTTGCACTTGACTGGGTTGGTCCCCGCGCCTGCCCTTCCCGGACTCTGCTTGATGAGGTGCCCCTGCTGTTTCTGGGCTCAGAAGCCCTGTGACCCGACCCCGCGCGGATGGGCCTTCTAAGCATCCTCCCCTTCGCCGCCTCAGCCCCCTCCCCCCATATAACCTGTGCTGCGTGCAGGCTTGTTTCCCACCCACCTGCTCTGTGCTTCCACTCTTTCCTTCAAGTTCTCCCTCATGCCTTGAATGCCTCACCTCGGTGTCGCAGAAGACATCCCTAATCTTGAATCTTTAGTTCTTCCAACCTGGATATAATGACTTTTAACATCCATGTTTTCATTTTAAAATTTTTAAATCATTCTCCTGGTAAAATTTAACTTGGAATTTTGTCTAGATGTTTACTGCTAACAGGTGTAGGTGCCTGGCTTTTCCAGTTGCCAGAGATGTCGTCCAGGCACATTTGCCATTTGACAAGGGACTGTGGTTGTGTTACAAGGATAGCATGTCTCTAAGCAGGGTTTTCCCTCCCTCCACCTCTACTTTTGTTTTGCTTTCCTGGTTCAAATCAACCACCATTTGTTGGGTCCCTACCTATCAGAAGGTTTCTGTCCTCAAAGATCTTACAGTGTGATGCATGAAAAAGCATACAACAGAAAGTTACAGAAGTTGGCCTGTCTTTATAGGAACTGCCCCGTTCACCATGCAGGACGCTGGTGGGGCCAAAGCTGCGGGAAGAAAGGCTGTGCGGAACCCAGTGAGCTTCCAGAAAGGTACGGGGTAAAGACGGACTATCAAGTCCTTGGATTTAATATTAATACTAAAGCTTTAAAAGTCATAAATCGCTCTTAGACATTTCAGGTACAGATTTCAGAACAAAGAGTGTGGCTTTGTGGTTCAGAGAAGAGGCTGTGGAGTTAGCCTGTTGGGGACCCTGGTTCACCACTTACCCTTCAGCCTGGGGCAGTTCCTGATCCATTAGTGTAAGCTTCTGTTTTCTCACCTGCAAAATGCGGATTATGACAGTGAGAATGTATGCGTGGGCTTGCCGCAGCGCTGAACGTAAAAACAAGCACTCGGGAAGGTGTATGATCACGTAGTCAGAGCACACAGAGCCGGAAGTGGGAGACCTGGGCCCAGATTTGCTCCATCTTTGGCTACTTGCCCAAATTACCTGGGCTCTGATCAAGAGAGAGGGAAATTATACCTAATGATCCTAATTCCTAATGCCTCCCCCAGCCCAGCCCTCACCTGATGTTATTCTGCACAGTTTCAAAGGCACTTTCCCATTCATTCTCCTGTTAGGTCTAACAACCCTTACCCCATCTCACAGCTGAGGAGACTGAGGTCCTGCTCAGATCCCCTCAGAACAGCAAGAATAACAGTGAACAGCGTCGAGGACGCACATGCTGCCAAGCAAGGAGTTAGCACCTCATGTGCATGATTTCACTTAACTCTCACATTATTCCCGTGAGGTCTGTGGCATTATCCCAATTTACAGAAAAGAACTCAACTTGGTAGGGCAAAGGATGAAAACACTGATTTATTGGGTTGTCAGAAAAGTCACGATGCATTTTTGCAACGAAAAACATGGAAAAAATACATCATGACTTTGCCGACAACCCAATATACGCACTACAAAAATGATGAGAAACACAAATGGGCCAGTTCCCGCTCTGATGCCTCCTCCCCGCTGCTGTCTCCTTTCCTTGCAGAATCACCTTTGAGCTCCCCACATCTCTCTTCATGTGTGTCTGATCTATTTAACTCATTTATCAAATTTTAATGTCGGTGGCTATGTTTTCTAGAAATTCTGCTTGGTTTTTTCCCATACTTTCCCCCATTGTAGGCGTTAAAACACAAGCTTCTAATTATTAGGTTCAGTTTGAGTCCTAAAAGCATTTCCTGTACTTTTAATTTTATAATTCCAGGCTATTTTTTTCCTTTTCAGTCTCTTAATGTTTGGTCAAATGTTTACTAGTGTAGAGTACCCCATACTTCTTATTCTTTTTTAAGCAAATGTCTAGCAATGTTTAGTTCAACAGATAAAATGCCCCAAAATACAATATTGCCCCTAAAAATAGCTGAAGTGATGTGTACATTTGTATTGTATTGTTTATGAAAGCTCCAGTGAATCCAGGGTTTTGTGTTCTTGGAGTCAGTTCGCTCCAGCCTGAGGCCTTGCCCATATCATAGAAAGACGAACGGAAGTATTGTCTAGTGGCAGCCCTGCCTCTGAGAGGAAGAAATTGAGTGTCACTGCACGTTTCTAGTTTGGGTGTTTGTCTAGACTGTGACCCAGTAATCGACACAGGTAGGGAGAGGAGGAAGGAGCAGGCTTTTCTTTTGGAGGGACTGCGGAGGTGATGGTGGTTTACTGTTCCGCCTCAGATTGTCAGGCTAGACTCTGTGGACATCACTGGGCAACACGGTAGAAAGAAAACAAGTGGCGACGCTCAGTCTCTTTCACAGCGAGGCTGCGTCTGACGGCAGTGGCTGCATGTGCCTCGTGCCACCGTGGGGCGTCTTCTTGATGTCTCACCTTTTCCTTAGAAAGCTTTCTCCATCACACTGGGGCTGGAACACTTTACCGTGAAAAGCTTTGTACACGCTCAGTTTCACAGATTTGTTTTTATACTGTATTTTTTAATCTCAAGATTGGATATCCCAAATAAATCCTAGAGAAATGCACTCTGCTGTGAAAAGAAGGAAATTGCAGAGCCATCCTTGGGTAAAAAGCAAGGCAAGAAAGCCAGTGACAGCCTCTTGAGGTGTGCAGACATCCCAAAGGGTAAAGGCTTTCCTAAGAAGCAGGACTGTTAACCTTAATTTCAGTCGACTTGATGATTTTGTCTTTCTTTCTGGATGGAAGTATAATTATCTTCATTTGACAATTGTGTCAAAGTCTAGATACCAAATTCATTGCAGCAGAGATGGGGGTGGGATTCGTGGGCGGTGACGGCCTTAACTAATCTCTCATCATATCCTGAATACTTGAATTCAGCACCCTCTGCCTCCATCACTCTGGCGAGACAGCTCACCCTCGTGGTTACAGCACTGTTACCTGTTGCTGTCTCTCTTTTTCATTTTGTCAATCTCAACTTTTTCTGTTTTCCTGGCTGCTTGCTTTTTTACCACAGTGTTTGTTCCCATTTGCGTTCCTATTGGATATCATAAATATTCTTTCACAGATTTTTTTCAAAATTTGTCCCTTAACTAAATAATATTTACTTAAATAATTATTTTAACATGGAACTTTCAGTCACATCCCAAAAAACTCAATGAGTCTTTAAATAGCAAAAAAAGTCAAACCGACAGCACAGCTACAGATGATAAGCTTGTTTCTCTTACAGACCCTTGGGACTTGTCACAAGCAAACCCCTCAGGCCTCTGGGCCTGCTGCCCTCCTGCTTTGGCACTAATCCAGGAAGCTGTTGCACAGCTGCTGCCTGGGGGGTCCAGATAAATAGACCCATTTCTCACCTACAGATACGAAGATCATCCTAAAGGGCCCTCTGAATAGCAAGTTAACATATTAGCTCCGGTCTGGGCCTAGATACGTCCATCGTCTTGGGCAAGTTACTAACCTCTCGAAAGCCTCCCTTTCCTCATTTGCAAAACGGAGGTAATAACACGTTCCCTATAGGATTTTCACGAAGAGCATTCATTCCGCAGCCATGCCCTGAGCTCCTCCTGCACACCAGGCACTGTTAGTCATCAACAACGCAGATGCAGCACAAAAATAAGATACGAGCGGACTTAGAGAAGGTCCCTCTGAGAAGGTGGTGTTGGAGTGAACATCCTGAATGATGACAAGGGGGTTGCCATGTAAAGATAAGGCAGAGCGAAGAGCAAGTTCAAAGCCCTGAAACAAACTTGGCCCGACAGGAAAGATCAGTGTGGGAAAGACGGAGAGACCGGCGAGCTGCTACAGGCCAAGGCGAGAAGCTTGGATTTTACTGTGGATCCAGTGGGGGGAATTAGGAGGGAGATGATATAAGTGATGTTATAGAACATGAGGGAGAAGAAGAACAGAAGAAGGCAGACAAGCACGGAGATGCTTGTGGACTAGTGGTCTACACTAGAAATGAGGGAAAGCTTTTAGATTTGGAATGTATTAAGAAGATAGACCACATTGAGACTTGCTGACGACTGGTTATAGAATGTGTAAGAAAGAGAAGGATGAAGGACAACTGGATTTTAACCTGAGCATTTCCTGGGATGGGAAGACTATTGGAGGGTGGGTATATAGGTAAAAAGTCACAGTTTGGTTTTGGACCTGTTAAGGCTGAGATCTTTGTTGCACATCCAAGTAAAGACTTCAAGAAGGCAGTTTGCTCTGTAATGCTAGACGTACGGGTGTGAGAGTTGTCAGCATGTGGATGATACAGCCATGGAGCTAGACAAGGTGAGCCAGGGAGAGTGTGAATGGTAGACCAGGAACTAGGCCCTGGGCACGCTGGTAAGTTCAAGGGACTGAATGCAGTTAAAGCACTTGGCCCACAGGAAACACCTATACGTGTGCTGCTGTTGTTGGGAGGAGGGGGGGGGGTGCTGATTTCTTGGAGGTGTCCTTACCTTTCAGCACATGAGGTTGGTAGAGCTCTAAAAGGCCAGGTCGCCCTGACTATCTCCTGTTCCCCTCTTCACAGAGCCACATGACTGCCTGTCGGGGCCTGTGTTTACCTCCCGCCATACTCCATGCTGTGGGTGTTTCTTCAGGTCACCTTTGTGAGGGGCAGAGGACATGCTGTGACATTGGCTCTGGAATGGAACATTAGTGTGTTAGGTTCTTTTCTACAAATACTGATTCTCAGTGAGGAGGAAGAGGGCCATAGCGTGCGGTCACTGCACTTACCCGGATGCCCGTGCCTAAGGCAGATGGGAGGCATGCGGTCGAGGGCGCTCCCACAAGACTTCCCATGAGTTCACCCAGCTTTGAAGTGGGAACTTCTCCACAGTTCTGTTCCGTGGCTCTTCCTCCCTGGACTCTTGTCCTAGAGGTTACCTTTACCTTTAAAATCAAAAGAGGTGGCCAGAATTCAGTTTCCATCTCTCACACTGACACAACAGAAACGCTCTAAGGTGAACTATATCTAGACCTTGTGATTCAAGTATTAGGTAAAACGTGATTGCCTTGGATTTGATGATAAAGTCACAGTAAGTGAATCAGTCCCAGTGTACGCTTTGTTCTTCCCCCCTCAAAAGGCTCTACTGCTCCATGTCATAGACTGAAGCACATGGAGACGCACGGAAGAGCTGGGCTTGCACCGCAGACCATGGAGGTGTGTATAGAGTACTCAAGAGAGGAGACTGTGGTGAGTCCCTGGATGTTACCTTCAGACATCCAGAAGATGCTTCACGACAGTCACAATTCCCTTCTACAGGTAAGCAGTGTTCCCGATTTCAGCTTGCCTCGTGCTTCCTCTGTGAGCTTCAGTTTTGTTTTATTTTGTTTTTTTAGCAGGGCTGAGGGGTGGAATGTAGAGATACTGAGATTGTTAGGTCAGTCTGGAGTAATGATTCAAAGCAACTACACTTTTGGCTGAATACTCCATTTATCTTGTAGAATTTTCTTTTTAACTAAAAAAACCCCACAAAAATATAAGAACAGATCATTGTACTACAAGTATAAAAATCCATTTTGTCCACTCTTCAGATCTGGTGCCATCATTTAGATGTGTCAGGTGATATCCAGCTCATTGCCAATCCAGACATGCCAGCACCCACAGCCCCGGTCCCCTTCATATTCCCTTCACCTCTTGGTGGATGAGTAACCCTAGAATCTTTGAATCATGTTCCATTTATTCTTTCTCAGGCTAGGACCACCATTTACTGCCTTTCTCACTTTGACAGGACTTGTCACCACCTGAAGAAGAGCCAGAGCCACCTTTCGGGGCGGGCGGCACCGACAGCATGTCTGAGAGCACTGGCAGCCTCCTCAGCAAGCTGGACTGGAACGCCATTGAAGACATGGTCGCCAGCGTGGAGGACAAGAACCTGTCTGTCCACTGGGCCCTGGACCTGTAAGGCCTCAGTGTCACTGTTGCCAAGCCAAGGCCAGCACCTCAGTGATGTAGTTCTGAAAGATGTGTGGGTTTAAGGGGGAGAAGCAGTGAACGAAGTGATGTGAACTAACCACCTGCAGCCATATTATCACCTGGATTAGCCATTTCAAGAGGGAAAATAAATAGCGCTCAGGAATTTTGCCTTCATGGGAAAGGGTTGTTTAACAGTAGATGTATTATATGTTTTTGCATTTGACTTATCTTTAGGCATAATTTTTTAAATGATGAAAAAAATAAATCATACCTTTCAATAAAACTCTTCTATCTTGACTCTTCCTTTACTACCCCTTGAGTTTGAGGAAAAACTTTATGTGGGTTAACCTGATAGGAAAAAAGAAAATCACAGTCTTACCTGAGACACTGAATAATGAGCTCCATTTTAAAACATACTCTAAAATTCACCTGTGCAGGGCTTGACCCAGGCGTGAAAAGGAACCAGCCACCTTTCACCAATCCTGAACTTCTAAAGAAAAGTTTCACGTAGGCCAGATCTTCTGTCCCCTGCCCTGTAACCTGAAAAGCTACAGAAGAAACAGGGATGGATGCTTTGGGTGGAAAAGAAAGGCAATATGATTCTTCACTTCAGAAGGATCATGTTAACTTTGTAAAAACCATGGTCAAGATGGTGGAGTAGGTAAACACTGCTCACCTCTTCCCGTCACCATATCAAAATTACAACTCAATTGTAAAACAATTGAGAACCGCCTGAAGACGAGCTGAACAGAAGTCTTATAACTATAAGGATATAAAGCAGCAGCTACATAGAGAAAGGGCAGGTCCCACACCCACAGTGTGGTGATTAAATTGGGAGGAAAATCTTGGATGTGGAGATCCCCTTGAGGAGTAATGGGACCCAGCCCTGGGCCCCCATGCCTGGGACAGGAGTCCCCATAACTTCTGGCTGTGAAAACCAGCAGGGATTGCATCTGTGAGATGAAGGGCTGCTGGAGACCTAAGTGCTGCAGATAATAAAGGGCCCTCACACAGACTCACTCACTCTGGGCTCCTTCCTACACAGAGAACGCAGCAGTTCAAAAAGCACCAGGAGCATATGGGGAAGAATTAAATTAACTAGCTTTAAGGGTGAGGGCTGGAGGGGTCAAAACAGCTCTCTACAGGGACGGAAATGCTGGCAGGCACCATTATTCCTTTGTTGAGCCTTTCCACCACCCAGCCAGCCCAGCGCAGGCAAGCAGGCAGCAAACCTGGCTAACACTGTTCGTCCATCCTGGTGATTCCGAGTTCCCACTCACCCAACGCATGTGCCTGGTCAAACCCCTTCCAGTGGCGCCTCCATACAAGTAGCCTGTCTCAGCTGGCACTGGGAACATTCCTAAAACCTCAAAGGTCCAGCAAACTGTAAACAAGCAGCGGCTGCCCTTGGTGTGCCCTGTACCTCTTGCTAACCTACCCCAAACCTAGCACAAGCAGCGAACGATCTCAATTTGCACGGTAACTCCCACCAGAAGCCCCAAGCCAGCATAAGCAGTGGCTAGTAGTCTTGGCTTGAGACGTAGGCTCTCAGTGGCAACAAACATGGCACAAATAGCAGCTGACCTAAGCTCACATTGTGGTGCCCACCAAAGGGTCCCAAGCCAGGCACTAGTGGCAGCCAGCCTCGGTTCACAGAGTAACCTCTTCCAAGTGCCTGCAAGCCCAGCATGAGTGGTACTAACTGCAGATCTCTGTAGTTCCTGCCAGACGGCCCTGAGTCAGGTACAAGTGGTGGCTGACCTTGACCTGCACCAGGGCCCCTCCAAAAAGGTTCCAGAACCAACACACCTGGTGACCAGCTTCAGAGCACCATCCAACCAGCTCCACAAACCACACACCCAAAGGGCAGCTGGCACTAGAACCCCACTAAAGTGACTCCTATTCCGTGGAGTCAGCCCCTGCACAGCAGCTTGTCCAATGTAGTCACAATCAGTCCTCATAGCCAGTCAGCCTGAGGGTCGACCCCACCTATTGATGTGCCAACAGCAATCAAGGTTCAATTACAATAGGAGGGCACACACAACTCTCACAAGGGACACCTCTGGAGCATGTGGCTCTGGTGACCAAGGAGACTGTGCCACTCAGCCCCATAGGACCTCTACTACATAGGGCCACTCTGCCAAGACCAGGAGATAAAGATCTACCTAATACATAGAAGCAAACACAGGGAGTCAGCCAAAATGAGACAAAGGAACCTGTCCCAAATGAAACAATAGGAGAAAACCCCAGAAAAAGAACTAAACAAAATGCAGACAAGCATTCCACCAGATGCAGATTTCAAAACATTGATTATAAGGATGCTCAATTAACTTAGGGGAAGAATAGATGAACTCAGAACTTCAACAAAGAGATAGGAAATGTAAAAGTGGAGATAAAAAACTAGTCAGAAATGAAGAATAAACTTAAATGAAGAATATATTAGAGGGAATCAACAGATTAGATGAAGCAGAGGATTGAATCAGCAATCTGGAACCCAAGGTAGCAGAAAATATCCAAATGGAACAGCAAAAAGAAAAAAGAATTTTAGAAAATGAGAATTTAAGGAGCCTCTGGGGCAACATTGAGTGTACCAACATCTGCATCATAGGGGTACCAGCGGGAGAAGAAAGAGAACAAGGAATTGAAAACCTATTTGAAGAAATAATGATGGAAAATGTCCCTAACCTGGTGAGAAAAATAGATATGCAAGCCCAGGAAGCACAGAGAGTTCCAAACAAGATGAACTCAAAGAAACCGACACCATGACACATAATTAAAATGCCAAAGATTAATGACAGACTCAAAAGCAGCAAGAGAAAAGCAGTTACCTACTGGGGAACTCCCATAAGACTGTCAGCTTATTTCTCAACCGAAACTACCGGCCAGTGGAATTGGCACAAGATATTCAAAGTGATGAAAAGTAAAAAGCTACAACCAAGATTACTCCACCCAGCAAGCTGTCATTTAAAATCGAAGGAGAGATCGAGCTTCCCAGACAAGAAAATGCTAAAGGAGTCCATCACCACCAAACCAGTGTTACAAGAAATGTTAAAGGGACTTCTTTAAGAAGAAAAGATAAAAAAACATGAAGAAGAAAATATAGGAAAGAAAAAAAATCTAATTGACAAAGGCAAATTCATAATAAAAGCCAGGGATAAAACAACTATAATGTTACCACAAAGGTTAAAAGACAAAAGTAGGAAGATCATGTGTAATTACAACAGTAAGTTAAGGGATACACACAAACACTCAAAAGTAAAAAATAGTGACAAATGTGGAGGGGTGAATAAAAACTGTAGTGATTTTAGAATGTTTAAACTTAAGCAACCATCAATTTAAAATAGGCAGCTATTAAAATAGCTTCTTATATATGAAGCACATGGTTACCACAAACCACAGATCTGTACGAGATATACAAGAAATAAAGAGGGGTCAGCCGTGTGGCTCAGTTGGTTAAGAGCGTGAGCTCTGAGCAACAGGGTCACTGGTTCGATTCCCACATGGGCCAGTGAGCTGCACCCGAGCTAAGCTGCCGCTGAGCTGCCAACAGGTGGCAGGATGGCTCAACGGGTGAGAGCATGTGCTCCTAACAACAAGGTTGCCGGTTCGACTCCCGCATGGGATGGTGGGCTATGCCCACACGCAACTAAGATTGAACACGGCACCTTGAGCTGAGCGGCCACAAGCTGCCGACGGGCAGCTGGATGACGACTGGACCTGGAGCTGAGCTAGCTGCACCCTCCACAACTAAGACTGAAGAACAACTTGGCTGTTCCCCTTCCCCAGTTCCCTAATAAAAAATCTTTAAAAAAAAAAAAATGAAAAAGTTAAAAAAAAAAAAAAAAAAAAAAAAAATAAAAAAAAAAAAAAAAAGAAATAAAGAGAAAGAATCCAAACACAACACAATGGAAAGTCATCAACATGCAAGAGAATAAGAAGAACAGAGAAATGCTATAAAAACAATTAGAAAACAATAACATGGCAATAACCATATAACTATCAATAACTACTTTAAATGTAAATAGACAAAATGTTCCAATCAAAAGACATAGGGTCCACCTGAAACTAAAAAAAAAAAAAAAGACATAGGGTGGCTGAATGGATTTTAAAAAAAGACCCAAATTGAGTAAAAGCGGTTTCTTCAATAGTGTTGGGAAAACTGGATAGATGCATGCAAAAGAATGAAACTAGACCACTTTCTTATACCACATACAAGAACAAACTTAAAATGGATTAAAGACTTAAGTGTAAAACTCGAAACCATACATTCCTAGAAGAAAACACAGTCAACTCTCTAACATTGCTCTCAGTAATCTTTTTCTGGATATGTCCCCTTGGGCAAGGGAAACAAAAACCAAAAATAAACAAATGGGACATCAAATTAAAAAGCTTTTGCACAGTAAAGGAAATGATAAAAAAAAAAAAAAGAACCTACTGAATGGGAAAATATATTCGCCAATGATACATCCGATAAGGGGTTAATAACATTCAAAATATATAAGCAACTCATACAACTTAACATCAACAACAGCAAAAACCAGTCCAATTATAAAATGGGCAGAGGGCTGGGAAGGCACCGCATTTGCTACCAGCGGGAGCAGGGGGGCCAGGCTGGGCCTGAGCACCCAGCACCGGCGCTCCCAGCCGTCGCTGCTCCGTCTGCGCTCGAGAGAAGGGGCCTCCAAACAGGAAAAGGGCGGCGCTGAGAAGAGAGGGCGGGGCAGGCCTTCCAGCCAAGTGCCAACACCTGAGACCTCGGGGACCGACCAAAGAGGAGCAAAAACGGTGCTGCCAAGACCCGGAAAACCACCAAGACTCCACGGAGGAAACCAAGAGGCAGATCCAAAACAACTGGAGGAGGAGGAGGCGGGCATCTCGCAGGCGTCCTCAGAGGCGTAGTATTGTCCGCACCGTGCCACCTGCTTCCTCACGAGGTGCGGGTTCCTTCTGGGACTGGACAGCTCCGCTCCCCCAGGCCCGCCACCCACCCGCGTCCCCCCACCACACTGCACGGCACAGCAGCCGCTGCAGGGCCCTGGTGGCCTGAGTGGGGAGCAGTTTTCCGTCGGTCCCGGTTCCCAGCAACCCCTCGCCCACCAGCACACACTTGCCCTCCTGGACTAAAGAGCTAACTTCCCACTTAGCCGCAGCATGTGCCACTGCATCCCCACTCCTTCAGTGGCAGGGACATTGCTGACCGGGCTCCCGGCTTGGGGATCCCTTCTCCCCTACTCTTCCCTCTGGCGTCCCAGTAAGGCCCCACCCCATTCATTCTGC